TTCAATCAGATCCAGCCCGTCATGTCAATCAGATGACGTGATGGGCCACACCAAGCACATTTATTTAAACAGAAATAATGATTATAGCACACTATTATTGTGCTTTATTAATTGCTGCATGTTAGGTGTGTTTATGCAAAGCTGCTCCTGTTCAGTACAGGTTTTTTATTTATATTATTTTTTATTTTTGCTTGAACACAAAATTCTGTGAGGTTTGAATCTGTTTCACGTTACATCTAGAGTACAAGTAAATAATAAACAGCATTTAAATCATCAGTTATTCAGCAGTATTTACTAAATGCAGGTGTTCTAAGTTTGGATCTTTTGTTAACAAATAGACTTAATCAAAAGATCTTGCATGCACTAGTAATACTGCGATCCATCCTCTAGAGAAAGTCTGGGGTTATTTAGTCCATCTGCTCCACAGAGCATTGGTCAGTCCTCATTGAGCCACACCCCTATGCACAGATGGGTGGGTCAGTTGCTTGGCTTTGTCTCTATAAAGCGGGACTTGCAGGCTCCTGTAGTAAACACTTCTCTAACGGTGCGGTAAAAACGAAGAGGAACCCAGAACTAAGTGCTGGTTCACTGAAACCCAACTCTCCAACACTCGGCAGTTGACACCTGTCAGAATCTGAAATGGCTACATTTGTGTCGGTGAGTTTTCCATCTCATCAGCATTCAGGACTGTCAACAGTTTGGCTCAGACTTGCTGACCTCTGCAGCGGTGGTCTGTTCAAACCAGTTCGAATGTTGTGGCAACTCTGGATAGCTTCTGTCACTACTGGGATTTTTTTATGCTTAGGTTTTGGAGGGAACTTGAGGTTTTTTTGAACACTGCATTTGCTACTTTGAATAAAGTTTTACTTTAGAGGGGGGAAAAAAGTGTAAATGGCTCTTCTGTTCAAGATTTTTAATTTTCCTGTGCTGGAGTTAATTGAAGTTATTTGACGTTTGTTAAAACAGCAGAAAAAAATGTCATATCTTATAATTATAGCAGGGTCATGATGCTGGGATGATTTTCTATATTGTTACCATCACTCAGTCCATTCTGTGGTGTCTTATAATGGGCTGCAATTGATAAGAAGTCCTGCCTAATACTGAAGAGTATATATAAAGTAATTGTGGCTTACAATAGCTGTCAGTTGTTTTGTTTTTTATCTGTTTGTCCGAGTCACATTATGATTCCATAACTTATTTGATTAATCATTGCTGGTTTATTAACAGCCTGGGTGCACACCATGACATGTACTGCTGTTTCATGCACCATTTCACTTGGACGCGCAGTCATAGGCCAAGAGTTAGTATGCATGTTGTCTTAAATTGCAAGGATCTCCTGACCTGTAGTTCTACCTTGCAACTTTCCTGCTACTTGTTGTGCCTTACATGGAGTTTATATTTTATTTGAATACAGTGTATCTTATTTTGAATTACATAAAACAGTAGGCTCAGCTCAAGCATCAGAGAAGTTGTAGGGGAAAAAAATGTTATAGAGTTAAACTAGAAAGAACTAGCCAACAGCTCTGATAGCATCTGTGAATCATGCACAGCTACACCTTTAAATCACAGAATAAGAATATGAAGCTGCATGTGAGCATGGTACATCTAATTTATTGATTAGTACAGTTTTGTTTATCTTGAGCACAAAGTTCTGCGAGTCTTTGATCTGTTACCCATTGTAATCTTTCCACATTGCAGTGTACCCTGAATAGGCGAAATTGCATAGCAACAGCCCCACCTTGCCGTCTCATAGGCTAAACACATTGTTTTCCCATCCTGCTTCAAGCAGTCCAACTATTTTCATATCTGCAATGTTCATAGGTAAAATTATCTTTGGCACAGCCAGTGGGAAGAGCCTCAGCTGTTAAGTGAATCTCCTGTCATGAGTAAGCTTCCTCTACCTCATTGTAAACTTTTCCTCAGCTGTGAGATGTCAGTACGTGTCCCTGACATCTGTGAGGCTTGCGGGTTGGCCTGCGTCACCTGTGGCATGTGCATCATTTTTATTACAGCGAGTCAGGCCCAAGTCCACACCAAACTGTTGTGCGTCCCAGAGAAAGCAATTAACTGTGGAAATAGTGAGTTTTGATGAAAAATAATAACTAGAATGACAAAAAGCTTCACCTTCCTCTCTAGGATTTACATAATTTGTTGAAATTATACAAAGAAGTTTCAACGGATTTCCTTCCAAGTACTCCTCTGGGGATGCATGTATGCCTTCACCTCAAAACCTCATTGTGTATGAGCGCAGTGTAGACGCAGAGCATGCATTATTAATGGATATGTTCCTTTCCTTCTACTTATCCCAGATGGCCACCTGCCATGCCTGCAATAAGACATCCAGGTACAAGGGGGTGAACAGGGATTTTATAGCTACCTGCGCTAAGACCCACAACACACCAGGGAGTGCTGGCAAGCACAAAACCCCACAGTCAACCAGCAGATCCAGCATGAATGCCCCCAAGACTCCTGGCAAGGACAGGGCGCCTGCTCATACACCTAGGTAAGTTTATTTTGGTTTGCTGTTATTAATATGCGTAGAGCCAAAAGTTTAGTTACAGCCTTGCTTGATTAAACTTAGTTGGTTCTGCAGACATATGAGACAGTGATGTGTCAGGCATGTTGGGATTTGAGTGATTGAGCTTCTATTAAATCAGCATTAAGGGAACAAGATGTGCGGGCAGCACGTGTTGGTTCCACATTCGGATCGTGTCGCTGGTGATAGCTTGCTTTTAACATTTCCTGCTAACCAACAAAATCTTAAGTTACTGTAACTCTTAACTGAACTCTTCCTTCTCTCTAGATTCTCCTCCTTCTCCTCCTCCTCCTCCACCTCCACCTCCACTACTACCACTTCAGGATCAGGCTCAGGCTCAGCTTCCTCCAAGCCTTCTAAAATTAGAAACTGGGTTGTCCGACGTCTAAGCAAGATTCTCCAGCGAGAGGACAACCAGGGCACCAAGAAGGGGGGCTTGAAAGATTTTCTCTCCTCACTTTGAGCATCTTAAGATTATATGTGCTTTATCTTTGTGAATACTCTTAAAAAACAAAGAAATGGGAGGAGGCCCGTGTTGTAATCTGTGTACTCCAGAGCATCAGAACTTGAGAAACTAGTTGAGTTTCCAAGCCAGTGAAAAGGCACACAGTTTGTCCAACAGCGCGACAGTTGCTGGGCGGATTGGAGTGGCGCTCCTGGAATCCTGAATTGTAACCGGAGGTCGCTATTTCAGCTGTCAGTCAGTTTCTGCATCTTCTGCACAGTCAGAAAGACGGGCAGACTTCTTTTCATCTAATTTAACACATCCCCCGTTTGTAAACTCCCGAACTGTGGATGTTGAAGGATTATAAAGTATTTATTTATCAAATTGCTGAAGCATCACAGGAAATACGGCTTTTCTCTGTGGTGGCATTTGTGGCATTACGAGCTGGTTTACATATATATTTTCCCCATTTTCTAATGTTACAAAAATAGGTTTATATAGAAAATATATATCTTTAACTACTATTCATGCTATTTGATGTTCAAACTTTTGTATTTGATTTATTTCCTTATTTCAGCTTTCAGTTCTCTCCAGTGGGAACATTTTTCTGTTTTGTTTTTTTTTTTATTACAAAGTTGAAATATAGAAGTGATAAATGTAAATATCTCATTGTTACATATTTGTAAATGCATAGAAATCAATCACCAATGAAAATATTTGATTATCATTCAGAATGGGACTCACCAGTCACTGTTTACAATGAAAAGGCACATCTACCAAACATCTGTAGACTTACAATTAGTGTCCTCTAAACTTTACATTTTCTTTTGATACTTTCTTTGGCTACATGCTTTTGCACCATTGCTCTATTAAATATGACTTGTGTGTTTTTTGTAATGTGTGATTACTTACGGTTGTAGATTAGCTGTTCAGTGAACACACATTTGTTTAAATCCTGAAATACCTCACATTTATATTTCACTGTGAAATACCTGAAATAAAACTGTGACTTTCAGTCTGTAAAAGTCGGCTCTTTACTTTGTTGCTCTGTTTACTGCTGCTTTTATGTACTGTCTGCTGATAAATGCACATATTATATGACTATATATTTGGTATTCAGTATGCATTATCAGTTCTTGCCTACAATCTAGAAACTGAGCCATGTTTAAGACACTAAGATATGGCTGCAAGAAAAGTGTGATCAATAGCTTTAGAAAAATTAGCTTAAAAAAAAGAAATAAATACACTCATCAGCCACTTTATTAGGTACACCCTGCTAGTACCAGGTTGGATACTCTTTGGATATTTTCTCCTTTTCAGGTTATTGTCAGTAAACTCTTCAAACTCTTCTGTGGGAAAATACGAGTGGATCGGAAGCTTCTGAAATACGTCACCATGTCCTCTTCAACATGTCTATATGCCTAAATGCAGTTTTAAAAGAATGTATTTATAGAGATCTTCAATGCCCTCATGGGGGAAAAAGGCTTTGCAGACACTAGTCCAACGTAATATATATATTTAAAACTTATATCCAGATGAACTCCGATGTCACCATGACTCAAATTATTCAAAATTTATTTAATAATGCAATAAGCAGATTGGAGCCATCTGAATCTATTACTAATTTTAGGAAAGCCAAACCTTTACCTTCAAATGGAAGCATTTGAAACGCAACATGCATGAAAAGATGTTAAAGGCGCACGCTGATGGTTTGTTCCGTTGATGTTAAAGGTCACTTAAACAAGGCACAGATGATCTAAAACATACAGTGACATTTTGTTTCCAGTATCCTGTTATTAAGATTAAAACTGCCAAACTAGAAAATCATAGAAAATGGGTTGGGAAACGGATTCAATAAGGGAAGAATAAACATTTTTATCAGTGTTTACGGCTGAGAGAAACTGTAATTTGTGTTTAAAAATAAAAAGGGAGAGAAAGACAATCCAGGCGCACTTCCTGTGTTACCGCCGGTGTCCTGCAGGTGGCGCCGGACTTTAACAATCGAATCTGACTGCACAGGAAGTGCAGAAGCGCTGGAGCGGTGTTTGCTAGTTAGCTGCATGTTAGCACGATTCATCTTCACGGAATTAATAACGTAAAAGCTCCGCAAGCACTTTTAATAACAACGGGGTTTTTTTGTCCGGTGATCATTTTGTTCAGAGCAAGATGTCGGACAGAAAGCGAGCAAGAGAGAAGGAGGACAGACGACACCACAAGAGGGAGAAGATACCAAAAGATGATTTGGAGAAACTGAAGAAGCACACGAAAAAAGTCAGCCAAGAAGTCCAGAAACTGAAACACATCGAGACATTGTGAGTAACTCCAGTTCCACTCTGGCTTTTCCTCTTTAATCCCGCAAACTTATGCATGAATTATAAATGCGTCTTAATTGACACTCATTTTCAAGTTGATCAAGCTTATCCACAATAAGCGAGGGGCAGCAACTTCATGTTGTTATTTTTTGTTTTAATGTTTTTGGCAGCATACTAACCATTTTTAATCTCTCTCTCATGCAGCTATGAGAAACCTCCACCGGGATTTATTAAGGTAACGTGTTCACAGTAATAGACAGCTAAGAGTAAGAAGTAAATTGCATGTGGCTTTTTTCAGGCAAGACGAATCGTGAGAATTGGTGACAGTGATCGGTTTGCGTTGCAGGAGCATGAAGAAAAACCAGAGGACTGTATCCCTGCAGAACCAGGAAATGAAGAAGCTAGGAGCTTCCTGGCCCACGCTCCCACCAAAGGGCTGTGGATGCCTCTAGGGAGGGAGGTGAAGGTGATGCAGTGTGAGTATAGTGTGCCCGAGTTTGCACTGACGGGAAT